AAGGAAATCATTCGTATGTAGTGCCCACAATGGCAGTCTCCAAGCCCGTGCATACTTTTGAGAACTGCGGCGCTCTTCATATTGAAGGTCACTATTAACTGCGTATGAACGGATGGATCGTGCAAAAAGAGAGAGAGGATGAAACCACACTCGTGACATACACGACCACACAGTAGTTGCACGCCTCGTACACCGCTATAGTTCCCGAATGTGAACGCGCCCATTTCCCACGATATATGCATACGCCCTGGTCCAGTAGCAAGAACCACGAGGAAATGACAACGCGAAGCCCGGACGCGGTGTGTGGTGATGCGGCTGTTTTTTTTTTTTAAAGAAAGACTCCCTCCCGCCGACAGAGCGTAGAAGAGCAGTCTTTTTGACTGACGCGCGAACAACAACTGCACCGTGCAGTCCACACACTAAAGTGTCCCGTTAGCATTTTTTTTTTTAGTGCGCCGCTGTCTTCTTATCGTCTCGCCCAGCCAATGACCCACTGCCTTCGTCTTTCTCGTCATCGCACCTCTCTGTCGTCTTCCGGGACTATTCGCTCGACCAAGCTTCAACGCGACAAAAGGGCTGACCGAGTATAAGAACACCCCGCATGGACGAAGGTGGCTTCCGTGAAGAGATACAGCTGCCTCCACTCTTTGACGAACATCACCGCCGCCGCTTCGGCCCGTCGGCGTGAAAAAGACACTGGTCGTGCCAGTGCAACACTACCTGGCCAATGGCCAGTGATGCCTCATAGGTGACCGATAGGCTTTTTCAGCTCGCCAGACCGGTGTTGCGTGCGACGCACGTCGGTGTCAATGCGGGCATGACGTGCTCTCCCTTGTTCAGTTGTGTTGTCCCCCGCTTCGTCGACGAAGCTGTGCCTACTTCTCGATAGCGGTAGCTGTCCTATTGTCGTTTTTGTGTGTAGTAAGGCGGAGCATTCTATGCGCAGGGAACTGGGTTTTTTAGAAGTAGTTTCTGGGTCAGCATGAAAAAATATTCCGAGCTAATAGTGGGGCCATCAGCGTGCACCCACAGTTCCTCTTCAGAGTGGGGAGCAGGGGGAACGCTCAGCGCTGGGCGCAACCCTGCCTTCTATATCAAAGTGTGGGGCAGACTTTGCGCGCCCCCTATCAGGTCACCGAGGAAGGGGCCTGCAACCCCCCCCCCCCCCCCTTCATGCACACGCTTATGATGGGGGCATCGTCTCCACTGAACTGAAGAAAGAGCGATGCAAGCAAAGCATCTTTACACTATGCAATCGCGAGGAGTGTTATCAATAATTACGTTGTTAGACTGACACCAAGACGCGCCACGGTGGTCTAGTGCTTATGGCGCTCGACAGCTGACCTGAAGGTCGCGGGATCGAATACCGGCCGCATTTTCGATGCAGGTGTAAAGACTTGATGCCCGCCTACTTAGATCCAGGTGCACGTTAAAGAACCACGGGTGGTCGAAATTTCTGGAGCTTTCTACTACGGCGCCTCTCATAATCATGTCGCGTTTTTGGGACGTTAACCCCCCTAAATTTAGACCTGACTGGATAGAGTAGCTGCACATCACACTTCATTACATCACGGCCAATCAAAGACCGTTTACCCCTGCTGCTCAGACTACTTCTCTGCTCACCTGAAAGATTTATTCGTCCAGACTTCGAAGGAATGGAACTGTATTCCCGCCTCTGCTTTACCCAACTCCAGCCTTATATTGTTCAAGGAATTAATTGAAACTATTACTGACTAGATAAGCCCACACATCTGACTAGATAAGCCCACACATCATGCCATACCTATGACGGCGATTGTTATAGCGGGAGCTTGGAGCGACGACAAAAGGACAAGTAGAAGTACTCAGTTGAAGTTAGCACTCCTCTTCCTGTTCTTTTATTGTCGTTCAGAGCTCGCGCTATATCAATCGTCACGACCTACCAAATAGCCCAAACTGCCACACCTTTGACGGGCCATTCGAGCTACCAACAAATTGGGGGGAGAAGGGATACAAGGCACCTGGAAGGTGAATGCCATTTGCCCCTTTTTCTTCTCAGTCGACTCAATCACGCCCCTTTCCGAGAAAGCGTCCTACACATCAAGTGGTTTCGCACCGAATACCTCCGGGATCGGAGGCATTGCAACCCTGACGCTTCTCACCTGGTTTGACGCTGCCTCTGTGATCGATCCACATTTGACCAAGGGATGATACCACGTGACCGGGTCACAAACTTTGGTGATGAGGGACGTCATGATGACGTCATGCAGTTACGTCATCACACGATGTTTGTTTTTTTTTCGCATCACTCTTGCTGACATAAATGCCGATGGTCCACTTTCACGTTTGATGAGGCATCTAGCTACATAGCCGTAATATTAGTACGATACTATAATTATACGTTTTTCGAACTATAAGTACCAATGTTCGTTAACATATCGATTTTTTTTACATTAGCGGCGTTTTGTTCCAACGAGTCACAATGACCTAAGCTGGCACCTATCTCAGGGGCCCAGCTTGTAGCATATTCACTCAACGTTGCACCAAACAGGTGTCCGATTCGGCTTTCATGGAACAGCAATAGCCACGTACGGGCGAATGCCACCGACAACAACACCCCAGTGTCCGTACAGCGGCAAACGGTCGAGGGTGACCAGCCGAGACGACCACGGTAGTTGCCGGGCTTTTCGAAACTCTCTTGAGCCAAGCGAAAGACCGTTCCGCTCAGACGGTTGTCACTACGCTATTGGAGATGCTCCCGGTGCTTCAATTTCTTAACACCCCACCCCCCTCTTGTTCCACACCTACCAGTTCTTATTTATAGCTTTTTTCTTTCTCTTGGTTGCTGTCCACTTTCAGTGCGCGCCTGAATATAGAGGCTTCTGTAGCAGCAGCAGTCACTTGTCACAGCTGATTACGGAGGAGAAAAAAAAAAAAAACCCCATGACGCGGAGAAATGCGTTTGCCTTGAATGCTGGCGGCGTCGACTTCTATCCGTATAGATCGAGCGAATAGATTGTCGAGGACAACTGCGGCTGTCACGGTTGAGAGGGCCTGATGTGGTGCACTCCCAAGAGTGCATAGCGAATGTGCGAGAAATGATCGGTTCCGTAAGTCGAAGTAACAATGCGCTTGGATATATATTGACTGTGGCCATAGGTGTGATAACCACAAGGGGCGCAAAGGGCGGGCAGGGGGGAGTAGGAAGACTTTACGCCCCCTAGTCACACAATTCAGTTTTGTGGCCACACAGGTCTTGACGACACTGGTGAAGGAGGAACCCCTAATATAATATTAAATGGGATTTTACCTCCCAAAATCACGAGGTAAATATGGGAGACGCGGGGGGTTCCGGAAATTTCCACCATGTGCTGTTATTTTATGTGCACTGACATCACACAGTATTCTGGCCTCCAGCATGTCGCCTCCATCAAAATGTGACCATGGCTGGGGTCGAACCCATGACTTCAACATGGCCTATTATACAAGACGCAAGACAGGGTAATAAGCTTAAATATATCACCCGAATAAACTTGAATGAATCCCCATGCTAATAAACATGTTGTTAGAAGCTCGTAATGATAAAAATGTAAAAGCGAAAGTGATCAGTTAACGTAGGTAGTAAATAGTCCTTAAGATGTTAGTTAGGGCCCAAGAAGGTTGGTAACAGATGCTGTTACTATTTGCTTGTGGTTACAATGTTTTTACTAAATGTCGTTGCAGCCAGCAAATTTAATCCTCCCGTGCCCCTTTCGTATATGGTATATTCACTCAAATAGACAACAGCACACTAAGACTCTCTGCCACTTCTTTCCTAGGAGATAAAACGACATAGAGGGCGCTGACGTCGGTCTTATATAAGCGCTATGCCAGTCCGTTCTTTCACCGTCCCGTGTCAAGCGCTGTTTGTTGTCGGCATCTGGATGACGTACCCAAACGGCCAAGTGACGTGCATTCATATAGCTGCTTTCAACAGCGAAAGTATTCCCATAGCTGAAGCTTTCATGCGCGGGATCCACGGTAACGTCATAAGCGGCAACGTATGACGTCAGGTGGACGCCATAAGCGCGTATGTGCCACAAACATCGCGTAGATCCCCAACACACACAACTTGCGCTGATAAGGAGGAAGACAGCGGTTAGTCCAGCAAAAGGCGCGTGTATTAGTGGTCACACTGCCATCACGTGATGCTTTGTGGTTTTAAAACGTGATGGCTATACTACGACCTCAAAGCTTAACGAAGATCGCTTACTGAAGAGCAGTGATACAAAATATCTGAAAGGCTTTCAAAACATAGAGATACAGTATAGTCGAACGAAGGGAAGGCTGCAGCTTCGCTGCGTTAGCGGTGTCCACTAACAAGAGCTGGTTGACTTTTTTTTATTCTTCAAAGGCACTCAAAAAATATCTGCAACGTGTAGAACAATAGTATTGACCATTTACTAAGCCTTACACATAGTTTGATGTTTCGTCTGTACTTGTTTATTTCATTATTTATGAACAAAGTGCAACAATGTGTTCATTATACATTTCTGTACGTTCTCTCAAGCATTTACGTCACTTTAAATCGCAATGAAATCTTCTTGCATTTTTGTTCGTTTTTTTGAAAAAAAATCAACGTTTTTTGATGTTCTGATTTATTTTTGTACAAATTCTATTCTGCTTGTATACTTTCTCCCGTTAGACCCCCAACTAGCCTATGGCTATGGGTCTAATCAGTGTTGTGCATTTCTTGAAATGTAGTCATAACAACCTCAATAAAATGAATGAATGAATGAAATATACGGCTCTGCCTCGGTATAGCGTCCAGAATTATTTGAAATGCTGAGGGGGTCAACTCTCCCCTTACCACTTCCCTGCGTACGGTGTAAGCTGCCTTAATTGCTGCCGCAGTGACAGGGTCCACTCAGGTCCACCTTTCAGCCGCTTCCTCCGATGCAACTTTTTGCGACGAAGTAGTAGTGCATCGCGCGTAAAAGCGGTACAGCGACGCCCTAATGATGCGGTCGTTTTCCACTCACATTCCCTCGGGCTGCGGTCTCGGTTCAGGGGCGCCCGCTACAGCCTCGCGGAGTATACGGCAATCGCTCCAGATATCGGGGTTGATGTGGCGGCGGTCACTACGCTCGCTGACTTCTGGTGCCTGCAAACAAAACAGGAAGAAAAAAAAGGAACATCAATCAATAGGATGGAAACGCCACGTCAGTTTCGTGAGTAATTGCTGCTCTTTCAAGGAAAGCAGTCACCTTCGAAGGACAGGTTAGCCCTAAAAATGCAGGCTTTGTACGGGTGCTTACGATAGTAGGTTTCAGCAAAAAAAAAAAAAAATAGGTACAGAAGAATCCAGTTTCTTAGTTTAGTTTATTTACTTCAAACAACTATGCCTCCATACATGTTTGAGGCATATAGAAGTAAAATTCACTATAGAAAGCAACTTGACGAAGCCCATGTTCTCCGAGAACATGGGCTTACAAGTACAATGTTTGTATATATGGCAGTGCAGGAGGACAGAAAACACTGAATACACTGACCAAACAACACTGAATTATGGTGTCAGCAGAAAAAGCAGCGATAAGCAACACATTGAGGTCACAAAGTTCAATACAACAACAATATGAGAAAGTTGATACGATCTTCGTGGTAAACAGGAAAACAGAAGCCTGTCACACGAGAAATCGTTTTTTTTCTTTATTCAAATGAATGTATGTACGTAAATTCACGTATACTCCGCCAGGAACTGAATACGAAGAGTTCGCCGAATGTCGACCCATTGTGCTCCACATAACAGATTATTTGGGCACCACTACCTGCAGGTAACACGACGTAGCGGAGTCGTTGGTCTTGTACAATAGTACATAAAGCGACGAGGAGCACGTGCGGCGTAGTATAGTGAGGCTGACCACGTAGAACCCGGAACTGCCTCAAGGTGTCGCCCCGCAGAGCAAAAAGCGGCTGCTCGCGCCCTCTACACAGACGTAACGGAGTCTGTACTTCTGGAGTCGTATTGTTACATCGAATGTGAAAACTCGATCCTCGTTAAGAGTACGGAAATACATTAACCCCATAGATTGCTAGCTGGCCCGGCAAAGAAAAGGAAAATAAAGCGCAATATCGCGAAAAACGAAGGAAAACAAAGCGCAGGAAGCTGGATCATGTCAACAAGATTCCGCTGTACTTGAAGGAAGAATTCCAGAAGAAAGCGCTTTTTTTGTGTGTGTGAATGGAAATAGTGCACCCATAACATTCTAACTAGAAAGTGGCAACGGAGCTCGAAGTTGTTGTCGTATATAGCAGCTATGTGTATACTTACTGGCTGGGACTCTTCATACGTTATTTGCAACGATTTTTGTTTGATATTTAGTACAAACAAGCTTTTGGAGAGTATGCAGCATTATCAACAACGAAACTTTTCGCGCCTACCGCACTTGCTTTGCTCAGTTCAATCACCTATAGTCCGGAGGCCCTGGTGCACGTTGTGCCTTGAGAATGCTTAAAATAGTATACTTCTGCTACACTCGATCAAACACAAAACCGAAGTAGATTGTATTTAGTGTGAGTTATATGTGAGACTCTCTGCAAAGCTACCTTCCTCAGTGAAACGTCTTTTTCTCTTCTATGAACGCGTTGCATACGTGACGACCAATTCCGTTCCGCTAATCAATAAATTTGATTTGATTGATATGTGGGGTTTAACGTCCCGAAACCACCATATGATTATGAGAGACGCCGTAGTGGAGGGCTCCGGGAATTTCGACCACCTGGGGTTCTTTAACGTGCACCCAAATCTGAGCTCGCGGGCCTACAACATTTCCACCTCCATCGGAAATGCAGCCGCCGCAGCTGGGATTCGAACCCGTGACCTGCGGGTCAGCAGCCGAGTACCTTAGCCACTAGACCACCGCGGCGGGGCGCTAATCAATAAATGTCCCTATAGATAGCACAATGGCGAGAAGTCCAAACACGCAAACACGAATTCTAAACGTCTATACCGCGTTATTACGCATAAAGTGACGCTCACACGTGTTACCTTGAGTCCACCCTCGTGACACATCACTTCCAGCAACAGCAGTACCTCCGCTCCGTGCACAGGTGAAAGCCATTCACACTTCCCAGCAGCTTTCACCAGCTCTCAAGACAACGAACGGGATGTCCTTCTGTACCACTCAATCACATAGTTCGCCACGCAGTGTTTAACGCCTAATGTTTCACACACAGTGTCGAACACACACATAGTGATTAACGAAAGAACGTCGCAGCGATTTCCCCCTGGCGTCGTATAAACACTACGGCAGGAGTTGCTGCTCTATCGAAGGTTAAGACGAAGGTCGCTTTCTGGAGGGCTTGGCTGTCGAGTAAGAGCACACTCGCCTCTTCCTCAAGGACGCACTTTCTCGCAACGCGCACACTATACGTATAATTGGGCAAATATACGCGGTCAGGTGCTGAGTTCTGGTCGGGCCGTACAGAGACCGCAAACGTTGGTCGAACGGGGCCAACGCGATCTACGCAAACACGGGCTGGGTGCCGGGCAAGAAGGAGCCGCTTCCGGGCAAACTCTCGTAGCTGCCATGCTGCCATGCCCTCTCGTAGCTGCCATGCTGTACGAAGAAAAGTGAATAAATATGGACCAACTCACTTGCTTCAATCTGAAGGTTACACGTATAGGAAATGACAAGTCATTCTTGACCGACACGCGCTTTTCTTTCGTGCTACTGAATCCCTACAGTGACTCACGGGATGTATGACGTCAATGAATTACGACCGCGAGTAGGTTACTCCGACTACGTGTGTGTGGCTCATTATTCGTGTTAATATGTTGATTATTAGCGATAAAGCCTTAGATGCCGCATCAAGCGTGAAAAACTGACCGTAAGCATCATACAAAGCGTCATTACGCAATGACGTCATACGTGACGTCGTTATGACATCATCTTGACATGACAAGTCGCGAAAACTTGTGACGTCATCGTCGCTTGGTCAAAGGAGGGTACGATCGCGGAGGCAGTGCGATGCCAGGTAAGGTGCACAGTAACATCTGGCGTATTATACGCATCGATACCACGATATGATTACGAAAGGCGCCCTGCATGGTGGAGGGCTCCAGAAATTTTGGACCATCTGGTGTTCTTAAACGTGCTTTGACATCGCACTCTACACGGGCCGCTAGACTTTGGCCTTCGTCGAAACGCGACTGTCCTGGCCGGGGTCGAACGCGCGACCTCTGTGGTCAGTGGCCGAGTCACTAGAGCACCGTCACGTGTCACCGTGGCCACCGTGACGGGTCACTTACGTAAAGCCAGGGACCCAGGACAGGCTATTGTGAGAAGAACGCCATCGTTTCGTTGGTCATTTTTCACCCATTGGGCTCAACCAAATGGGAGAGGGGTGGGGAAGTTGGGATTAAACGTCACCTTCTCCCCCCTCTTTCTGTGATGGTGAATCCTGCGTGCGCCTATGTTGGTTACTGAAATACGCGTATAACAACCTTCGGTTTATTGATGACCAGTCTTATTGCAACTGCGAAATCGAAGGCATCTAACGTTTACGAATGAGGCTAGCTGCAAACAAGAAAACATGCGTTGCGTTGCAGGAACAGCTATGCGATTGAATTCACCGACTGATTTCGTGCGTTTGCGTGGTCGCGCTTGAAACTTTAGCATCGCTACGCTTACGTCCGCAAAATTACGGCACATTCTTCTGTGTAAGTGCAGCAACCGGGACCACTGATTGGGCTATAAATTTCTTCTGATACCCCCCCCCCCCTTTTTTTAATACTCATTGCGAAGTGCCTTGTCGGCTAAATAAGAATGATTACTCCAGTGATTGCTCTTTTCTATCACTTTTTTCCTTCTCACCCCGGAAAAAAAAAGAAAGAACGCACGAATTGAGAAGAAAGAAGAGACAGGACCGAATCCTCCTGACTTCCTTGTTGATTGTTTACGAGCGGACCACGAAAACAACAAAAACGAAATTGGGAACCCTGAAGAGCGACCGAAAAATAGGCCCTATTATGCCATAGCTTCGGAGAACACGCTGAAAAGTCTAGGGCCGCTAATAAAACAGCAAGCGGTGAGAGGTACCAGGAAATATTAGAGCAGGATGAAAAACGGGGCTTTGGGGGGGGGGGGGGGGGGGGGGAAGGAGTGAAAGGTTGGAGTTGCACAATCTGGTGGACCTGTTAAATTAACGGGAGGGAGGGGGGCAAAGGGAGGGGGAGCTCTGCTAAGATCGAAACAGGACGAAAAAGCGTGGAAAGGATAGTTCCGAGGGCTTCCGTGGATGGAGAGGGGGGGAGGGCGTGACTGAAAACGTTGGGCAACATGGTGGGCCTGTTAAATCAATGGCATAAGGGGGGAGGCAAGAGGGGGGGGGGGCTCTTTTAGCCGCTCAATCCGTGCTTGGCCAAACAAGCCCCGACAGGACACCTTGTATGTACCTTGCGGAATGTCTTGATCAAGACGCTAGCAGAGACACGTACGCTAGAACAGATGGCAAGGAAAGGGGGGAGAAGGGAGGTTAAGTACTGCGGGGGGTGGGGGCCATAAGCTTTCGCGGACACGAGGAAGTATATACTTAGTTGCGTAACTTTGTTATATCGACGCTGCTTATACGCAAAGAGACACATACAAGATGGCCGAACTGTGGCATCCCGTACCTGGGCCTTAGTGTACCGTTCGTATAGACCACGTCGTCAGACCGACAGAGGCGTCGAAGGCCCGGAGTCTTTCTTTCTCACGAGAGGAGGGCGTTATTTATGGGAACACCCGCCCGCTCGAACTCCATGTTGGGAAATCGGGCTTCGTTCCGTGTGCTCGCCAGCGAACGCTAAAACCAAGCGTCCATGTTTGTTTGTATGTTTTCGCGTTGCGGCTACCTGCTAGTGTACTTGACGCTGCCCGTTGTTGCCAGCTCAGAGGACCGGGGTGAGCGACCGGGAGATTTTTATTGCGCGCCATATTTCTTCGAGCGAAATTGGGGCCCGCCATGTTCTGTACACGTCGTGAGCGTTGTCTCTCCACATCGTGCATGGTTCGACGCCTGCAGCATGGGTTTACGGAATAGCAACACTCCAGCGATCGTGCTGGGCAAAGGACTTAAGCCCTGAAACTCTCAGTCGGAGTGGCTATTCAATCCGCACTTGTG